GCTGTACTTATGCCTAAACATTATCTGGTAAGTATTTAAACTGAAACTAGCGATACCTAATTATAAAACTGAACATTAGTACAGGTTCAATTCAACTTGGTCGATATTAACTTATCTCTTTCTTTAAACGAAAGTGAATGTTGATCTTAAGGATTCTTATTCAGATAAAAACTATTTTATCAACAAATAAGGGTCTACTATTTTGGCATAGGGGCGTAAAAATTAAGTAAGAGGAGTAAAAATTGCCCCGTTCCTAATGCTCTTCGAGCCAAAGCCCCGGCAACCGGTTAGGCCTTCCGAGGCTCCGTATCTGGCACCGGCACTGCTGAGTCCCATCTGTGGTAGTCTGATGACTCTTTTGCACAAAAAGATGCATTAGAACTATGTGTACTCTGAAAGCTGAGGACAGCTGTGCACCTTACTTTAAGGAATTATAATGACTGACGCTACCGACTATATTGGAATTGAACATATTCGACAATATATTTTCCAACAATTATCAAAAAAATTACTGTGGTACGAAATGTTGAAACTCGTAATCAATATAAAAACTTGCTCTCCAATTATAAATGTAAAAGTACATTAGTAGAAAAAAGTACATTAGATACGACTCCACGAAGTAAATACAATAAAAATCCATACAGCATCAAAAACCTAAATATTGCACAAGTCAAAAATAATGAAATAATTTTTAATTGATGAATGTTATTACGCTATCGAAGATTACATAATTAAATTATTAATTTCGTTTAGAAATGTATACATTTTAACATTTTTAATTACTTAATTTTGACATTTCTATTATTTATTTAATTTTGGCATTTAAAACTATATTTTTTGACATAAATATTTTGACAAATGAATCTGAATAAATTTATTTTAATGTTGACTTATGTTGTTATATATTTATTTTTATTGAATAATTTTAGTACTTCACTGTTTTTGACATTGTTTAATTTATTATTTGATGAATTTTTTTAATTACCTCTGCAATAATTGTCTGCTTTGACCTGAAAGCTTGTGGAAGATTAAATCATTCTACCCACTTTACTTAATGCTTTAGTACAGTGCCTATTTTTATATGATTCCGATTTTTTTACTGCCCACATCATAATATATTTTTACGCCTCCTGGCATGACATGGCTGACGAAAGTAATAATACTTTGTCATACAGGTCATAAGACCTGTAATTCTTTACCTATGTTAACAAATAAATGATTATGATCACATAAAAAGAAGCTGTGAACCTCTGTTTGCACTGTCAAAATTTTTTTAATATATATTTCCATAATATGCTGATGTTAGGTAAAAACTAATATATGACATGCAGTATAATGTGCAGAGTAGATCACATTTTTACCAAACCTACTCTTCCCCACGGGTGTCGTAGACAAGACCTAACGACAACGACATCTTAAGACGCCGGACGCCTAACGGCTTGCACAGTTAATTTTACAGGAGTCATATCTACTGTCATAATGCTCGATAACAGGTAACGATGCAATGTTATGATGAAGTGTATAATACATTTGTTATCACTCCCTCACCCTGGAAATTGTTATGGAAAACAAGAGATAGCTGTCTATCAATTAGATTCAAATAAACATTTGAGGGGTTCCCATATAACATCCATGATTAGTTTGCGTAAAATCTAAAGTACTAATATAACTCTGTATATAATCATGTATGGAATTGACATTATGTATGAATTTAGCAGTTTTGCTCATTTATAATGGAACAAATTCGTGTAAGTTAAAAAAATGTTGGTAGTGAGTTTATTTTGGTTAGTGCCATTACGCTTCATCAAACAAACACAGAATTAAATATGCAAAGTATTTAAAAGGGATGTCAATGTAATTTGTAACAATGGTAGGAACCATTCCAGAAAACCATATACCTGTAAAATGCAGAAGGCCTTCCAGACACCAAATGGTGCAGAGTATTCTTAACAGACTTGCTTTTATGACCAGATGCATGATTGATCATGCATATACATAAATATGACATAATCTAATTAGAAGTTGGTATCCTCCAGTTTACATTTTCTCCATAAAATCACGTAGGTAAAGTAGGTAAATAGTTAAATAATAATGTGGGTTTACATTTAATACTGTAAAGTGTAAAGTTTTGTCGAAAGAATAACCATCTTTGTGGCCCAAAAAATATCTATTACTTACCTTGTGCGCAGCCTCTATTCACCACAATCTCATCAACTTATCATGCTGATTGCTGCATACATCTGCAAGATATCAAAAAATTGCTGTAAAGGACAACAGGTGTCACCAGAAGTTTAATACAATATTTCAAATACACTACTTACCTTTCTTGTTTACTTGTTTATTTTTTTCCATAGGGCTTCAAGCACATTTTACCCACTGAAAATAAAAAAAGAATTAGAATAGTATTTTCACATTTTTGAAACTTGAAACTAGGAATTTTATTATAATATTTAGAAAATTGTAATGACATCAGTCAGTGATTAATTTAATAATGAGACGTAAACGGAGCAAAGTTATTTTTGTAAATAAAATATACTGGTTACCCACATACAATAAAAAAATCTTTAGTCGAATTTATTAACCGAAAAATAATTAAGTAACAAGATATTATCGATGTTGAGAATTAAATTTATTTAACTCTGAAACGTCAAGCTAATAAAATAAAACAAACTTTAAAAAAATGCTAAATCGTATTTTGAATGGAAGAGGATAAATAAATTATTTCATTTATCTTTTATTACAACTAGAAAACTATTATACTAACTTGATCACTATGATTATAACTACCGCTAGACGTAGACAGCAGAATTCGAAGAATATAATTTGAATTTTTATCCCGTCCAATGTTGTCCCTGTACTCAGTGAATTGATTTGATTCCTGCCTGTCCTGTCGAATGACTATGACATCTGTCACTAGCTAGATATTGACATTTCGTTTTATATCCTTGTTCGGGAACGGTTGAAAAAAATAAAAAATGTTGCAATTTTGAAAACCTTGTTCTATTTTCAGTTGTCGAAATTACACACTTTTCAATTAAGAACATAAACGTTGTTTTGTTATTGTATATAATTTTGACCTTGAAAGTTAAAACGACTACCTATCATTTTGAATATCGTTCGCTTAAAAATAGTTTTATAATGTGAATAAAAGAAGTAAATGTATTAATAAATTTAAAATATATTGATTAGTTTTAGACACTATAGTTGATACAATGTAAGGTAGTTACTGAATTTTACACATAATAGAAACATTAAAAAATATGTGCTATACCTAAAAACGTGCCTGATTAACTGATGTCTATTCTATACTATGTTTGTATAAATAGTACAAGTATTAAGTTCGTAAAAAGTAGTTTTTGTTACCTATGTAATTTTGTAAATGGATATATTTATTATATTTAATTTATTAAGCATACTATTATTTTTAGGAAAACTACGATGCTATTATAGCTATGCATTCATCAGGAATTCCATTCGTTTAATGTATGTAAATCTTAATTAACTAGATAAAAAGTATCTACATAGGTATTGCTAAATCTCGTGTTTTATTTAGGAAATAATAATAAATTAAATTCCAGTTATCAAAGTGTTGTTGATTGTACCATACGATACGGTTATTTCAAACTTGAAAACCACGCACCTAAGAGACACGACTAAGAAACCAACAGTGACATCTCGTTTGATACCAAGTAACTAAATCGACATACCATTAATTTGATTTGACACTTAAAATATCTCTGTTACACTATACCAAAATATTAAAATTATTATATCGAGAGTATGGGTATAATCATGGAATATTAAAACAAGGGTAACCAAATTCAATATTATTTTGGCGTCATTATACAACCAAAATGGCGTTGCAAATTGCAAACTTTCAAAGTTTCAAGCATAGATGTTTCAAGTTCAGTTACATGGCGCAAAAATGATACCAGTTACAACAAAAATTCTCCATTCCCATAAATATTTGAGTACATGTAGACCAATAATTAGATTTAAAATACTTTTTTAATAACTATCTCTTTGAATTTGATTTTAAAGTCTGTTGTTTTTATTGGATACTGCGGTAATGTTTTTTTTTTATTGTTGCGGGCGGCGCTGGTTGCTTACCACCAGGTGATCCGTTTGCTCGTTTGTCATGTAATTATATTTTGTCATGTAATTTATTTTCTGTATGAAAACAATAATTAAATATTCATACACCGTGAAATCTATTTCGTCATAGTTTACCTCTTCGAGAATAACATGGCTTGATATTTTGATAATGTACGAAGATTTTATATTTATATGCGCTTTCGAAATTAGCTTTCACTAGTTATTATTTGTTTAAGACATTTCATTTCTTTTTGAAGCTATTGTATTTCCAAGACAGAAGCATTGTACTTCGGAACGAAAACGAAATAGAATTTACGGTGCAAATGCCCCAAATGAGTTTTTAATTTTTCACAAAACTTAGTGATAAAATCTTGAGTTTTACTAAAACGAATACCATCAATATTCTGCACATACCCTGCATGAACTGTGGAATTTTTTCATGTTTTGAGGTATAACGCGCATATAACGTAATTTCTCACTATTTATCCATTTTGAGTATTTATTCTACCTAAAAGTCAGCGATATATTTTTGAGGAACGCTGAATTTCGGCTAATAAAACAAATTAAAACGTGTTTCCGAAATTATGAAAAATTTAAATTAAGGGTTGAGTAAGTTTTGAAAGTCATAATCAACTTTTACACAAGCAAAGCCGCTAGCAACAGTTAGTGCTATTTTTTATGGTAGGTACTAACTTTTATACGAGCTATCTTACATTAATAAAATCAAAATACACCATTAATGTTTTCAATGGATTATCAACAGACTACCATTATATGTTATTGAAATAGGTTTGAATATACTTTATTATAGATTTATCTAATTTAGCGGCCAATTCTTGTTGTAAACAATAATTGTCGAGATTTCCAGCATTTGTTTGTTTCATAATTTTTTAACTATGGTAACACTCAAAGTGTCGCCTGTGTCGCCCATCCATTTCCGCATGAAGCCGATTTGTGTTTTGACATAAATATTATTCAACATTATATGGATTTAGTTATTTAATTTACTAAATTTGTTTTGTTCAAAGTTAGTTTCTTTCAAGCATATCGAAATGACTTGGGGTTTTGTAACATGCGGGCCTAACGAGGCGCTTGTTGTCTCCGGTAAGTATTTACACAAAAATCTTGTATTGTTATGCGGTGTCTTGCATTAGAATCTATTTATTGTTGTAGCTGTATATATTTTACTAATAGGAATCTGCTCATGTGAGGAATGCCCTTGAGTTTTTTAAGTGTATCTAACAAAAAGTTTCAGGATGACATCATTCATTGGATCAATTTAATGAGTGTCTGGCTAGCGAACTTGTAATTATAGTATGTACTTGCGCAGTACATTTGTAGATCATTCTATTCATTCAAAATTGAGAGTTGAGAGTTGAGTTTCGAGTATGTAAGCCCAGTAACGCATATTACGATACAACAATTATTTTTATATGTTAAATAATTTATAAACAATGAATTAATTAATATATTAAACTTTAAACAATGAATAATTAATTAATAATTAAACGCAATAGGTATTTGTTATTTGCAGCTACATTTTTAAAGCTTCAAAAAATATATCAACTTAATTTCTGCTGAGATAACTTTAAAGTTACAAATAGTTACTGGTTGAATGAATAGCTATTACAATAACTACAATATTAAACCTATTGTTATGCAAGTCTCAGTTCAGCTACTAATAGTCCTTGCTACTTATAATAGCTATTGGCTGCTATTAATATTGGTGATGCCTATAAAACTTATAAGACTCAATATTCTTATAAGTTTCCCAACTTATTCTGTTGCTTGTCTTTTATTTAAAAATAAACTTAATTATGATCATGGCTTTATAGCTGGCGTAGAGTGTGTAGGCCTTTTTATCTTTAAGTTTTTTTAAATAACCAATAATAAAAACAATTACTTAAGGTGAGTAACTACTTAATTCATCCATCAAGTGATGACAACATGGCTATCAAGTCAACTCTTGAGTCAATTCCCTAATAAAGTTGAGATCTATAAATATTTATAAAATTCTTGTGCGTCTCTGAAAGTGCCTGGTTGCTCCACTGCTGGCCTCACCCTTAGTCTTCCATGGTGATCCCTCCACTCCTTATTATGTGATACTTGAACATAGCTGATGAATATCCTTTTGGGGAATAAAAGATGTGACTTTGTAAAGATACCTAATACTGCTTGAATTCATGTTTGTTTTGGTTGCATATGCTTGTTTATCACTTTTACTTTTAGCTATTGTGATCCTATGCTGTGCACATCTTCAATATGTATATAAAAAAACATTATGTTCAACAAACCAATACCTTATACCATTGTCACAATACCACATTGTCATTGATATTGAAAATGGCTCCCGCAACCTTTGAAAATTAAAAAAGTTGTGATTAAATAAATAAAATAATTTTCTGATGAGACTTCATTGAGAGACTACATAGGTTCTAGTATAATACTAGAATGATTCCTAAATATTATGCATGCTTCATAGATTCTGATTCTGTGGCATAGACTATTCATGAATCATTCAGACCAACTCCTTAAAATAGATATCTGCTTTGTCTGTAACAGCAACTGGTTTATTTTTGCTTTATCTTGCACATGTTTATTTTAAAAGTGCTATAACACACTTGAGTTTGAAACCTTGGTGGAATGTATTTCTCTCTTCAAGATATTATATAGATCTCTTTCTTTATATAAAGGCGTGTATTTTGCGTGAAAGGATAGTATACCCGACTGCTGAGCGTCAAGTCACGGTTCAATTCCGGGACAATTAAGTAATCTGTATGATATTTAGAATTGTATTTCTGCCTTTTTTGTCACATAAAGTTATCCTTATTTGATCGACACACCTGAGTATCTAAAAGACCAACTGCTATCTTCCTTGTCTTTTTGTTGCTTGTGTAGAATTCTATCCTAATAAATATGCAATGCGAACAATATATTCGTTATCTTCGCCAATGACGAAAATAAGACGAATTGATAACTCAAACTCGAGAGCTCATGCAAATGATAACTATGATAACATTTGTGATTACAATAAATATGTAGGTACACATATTTTCTTCATGATGAATACGAAATTTTATCTATTGGCTATTAAAAGATTAGTGGGCTAGATTTAATATCGTGTGTACAGGATACGGAAACGCAATAGCAAGTGCAAATATTGTGTATGTACGAATATTTATAATGAGAGATATCGTACTCAGCTCTATATGAAAAAAAAACGACATTTTATCGACCGTTCGAACTATCTTTTATTTGTAGTTCAGAAGGATAATAATTATATTACAGTGTAGGTCGTTATGTAGCTAGCAATAATAGCTGAGCGCCGACAGCTAGTTCGATCGTAGCTACGAAAATATTTACTGTTCACGATCTATTGTGTTGTAACCTTGACATTAACATCATACATTTTAAGTGAGGCTTTGATTTATACAGGATGCTGTTACTCAAAGCCACTGCTGGTGCCGGGTGGGCGTGCATTCGTTTGGCCAGCTATACAGAATGTGCAACGAATCTCCTTGAACACTATGACCCTACAGGTGGAATCCCCAACTGTTTATACCAGTCAGGGTGTTCCTATATCTGTGACGGGAATAGCACAGGTAATCACCATAAACCTTTATTTATTGAACTCATCTTTTGCGTGTCTTGTAAATACTAAGTAAATAAAATATCTTACTGTCATATTTTAAAATTATACTTATATAAAATGATTATTTTATCTTATATTCATTCCCTTCTAATGCCCGAGTCATAAAATTTCAGGTCAAAATTCAAGGTCAAAACGCTGAGATGCTGCTCTCTGCGTGCGAGCAGTTCCTTGGCAAGAGTGAGCAAGAGATCCAACATATAGCCCTGGTGACCCTGGAAGGTCATCAGCGTGCTATTATGGGCTCCATGACGGTTGAAGAGATATATAAAGACAGAAAGATCTTTTCTAAAAAGGTCAGTATAAATTGTTATACAAACACTAGAGAAAGACTGCACGGTTGGCGCGGTGGCTGGGCAACCGGCTGCCGTGGAACGTGTTGCGGGTTCGATTCCCGCATGAAACAACACTTTATGTGATCCACAAATTGTTGTTTCGGGTCTGGGTGTTATTGTGTATGTGAACTTGTATGTTTGTAAACGCACCCACGACACAGGAGAAAATCCAAGTGTGGGGCAATATTAAAAAAAAATGTTTAATAAAAGGCTTTTGAAAGAACAACTGGCACCTGGCTACTATAGAATTACACACAGAACAATAAACACATTGACATGAAGTACTATTGACATTTTCTTAAGTCTGGTGATGACTAGACAAAGAACCACTGACATTTTTGTGCTACAATTATTTCTAAGTAATATACCAATCGCCTTTTTTTAACGTCCTTGACTACACACATGAAAATATCCAGTTCTTTGAAATAGTCTTTATTTCCAGTTATTGCGTTGATTACTTTTATTTTTAGTTATTTTGTATAAAAGATTATTAGGTCGTTATTTAATCACTTAATATTTCATTTCAGGTGTTTGAAGTGGCTTCAAGTGACCTCATCAACATGGGTATCACCGTTGTGTCTTACACGCTGAAAGACATCAGAGATGAAGAGGTACATAGCTTGTTTGTTTACCTAATTATCCTAATTATTACCCAAGTTATCTAATGGGTTCAACTAACTTTGTTTACTAGCTCTCAACAACACCAGTTTCCATAATACTAATGAATCTTAATTCAAAGGTCATAAAAGATACATTTAAAACTTCTGTCGCTGTCACTAAAGTCATCACAGTTATTAATTTATCATAAGACATGGTAAACTAATTCACAAAACATGTTACACTGATTTTTTACCTATGTTAAAGATATTTAGTTCTATATATTTTTTTTCGACATGGCTACAGGAAGCTAAGGTATGTAGGATTTAAAATGGTGTTGAATGTTTTTATGTCTCATTAAATACATATTACGACAATATCATAAATTCCACTTCAATAACAGGCTTTAACGACCATAATATTGTCTTACACTAGAAAGTATTGTCAATCTTGATCTGATGTAGCTGTTGGATGAGTTTATCATTGTGTGACATTTGGTTGGCTTTGCTCCACAATTTGGCCATATGGAGTTTGTTACGGCATGTCCTAATTACTTGTTCTTTCTAAAAAGCAAAGAAATGCGTGTGTTATTAGCGACGCACGTTTGTCATACATCTTTCCCGCTATCCTGGCCAGTCATCAATGTTCGTTTTAATTGAGGACGCCAAATAATGCGACAAGCCATATACAATTTAGAGATTTTGTTTCCTTTACTTTCATTATTATTAACAATGAATTTACTTGCATATTTTTTTTACAACAATAGGTACAAAAAGCACATTAATAGTTTGTACTGGTTTCGTGCTACCAATATTGACATTAAAACGTTTTGGTATCGATTTGAAGTAAGTCACTAAGGTGTGTCCCCTATTACGAGAATTAGTTCACGAGGTCGTGAAATAGTGTTGCGTGACAATAATTCTTTGCGACCCGCCCCTCTTGAATCATGCTTGTGTCAGGGTTCTATCTTGTCAAGCAGTTTTCTTGTCAATTCTGACCAATCGTTTTGTCAAAAGAATGCGACCTAAATTAAAACGACTTAAGTTGACATCTCAATATTCACATAAGCAGTTATTGGATTCAACGCATTCATATATCAAAATTATATGCTCATGCTGCTTATGGTACTTTCACAATTAAGTTACCAGTGTGTTTAACATAAGGATGGCTTCAGCGGAGTGTAATCATGCTGAAATGTCTGTGTGTTGTTCTTGCTTTCGGACAGCTTAACTATCTATGCATTTGCATCCATCGCCACCATCCTCTATACCAACTTCTTTTATATATCTCAATTCGTTTTCACATAATTATATATGCTAAAGATTAACTTATTTCGATATTGATATTTTTCTTTTCTATGTGACTTGCTACATCAATGTTATTAGAATTTCGCGAGACATTAAATTAATTATTATGTTTAACAGCTAACTGCCGTACTCAGGGACATTGAATGATTACTTAAACTCGTCCGTATTCGATAACGATTTCGTTCCTCAAATATTGCTAAGGACTTGGTCAAGTAACCATTAAATAATTTGAGTACGCCCGTTACTCATGTAACTCTTTCTCGTGTATCGCGCAATGCTGCTTATGAATATGAGCATCTTTTTTGAGGGGATCATCCAATGACTTCTCCCGCCTTGAGTGAGGCGAGAGAGAGTGTCAGACAGAAACCACCCCGTTACTAATCCTGCTCTTCGAGCCGGAGCCCCGGCAACGCGTTAAGCGGGTCCGTATCAGGCATCAGCCCTACTGGAGGCACCTGTGGCGACGAGCCAAACGCACGGGTCTGGTTCTGGTCAGGCGGCGAGCTAACATTGCTTGCCGTCCGTAGACCCACACTTACGATGGCCGGAGATCGTCTCGCCATCTCCGACGCCTGGAGTGTACCGCGACGCCTGGGGCGTGAGAAGGTTCGTTCCCGCACGCGTTCCGCCTCCATTTTGGCTAGCATGACTGCTTCGCAGAAATAGGACAAGGGACTATGAGCCCTATTACAGTCAAAACGTGGTTTGAAAGTAGTCGAGATCCTCATAACACAGTGAGAAAGCCTTTTTAACCCATTTGGATCCGCCGTCCCCATATGGGGACAGGTTTTCTTTTACCCGCTGGTTATTAATTATTTTAGCTATCTTCACATTTCATGGGTATTTATAATGAGGAGTAGTGTACTTTCCTAAAATTATTAGAACTTTTGACAAATTGATACAAAAAAGGGGTCATATTGTCAATTTTATCAAGAGGAAGTGAAATGGGAATTATTATCGAAAGCAGAGGCGTTTTGTACTACGTTATTATGAAGATTTATAAAACTTTTTTGTGATTATTGCTTCCTTATAGTGTCAATTAAAACAATATTGAAGAATATCCTTATACTTTCAATTCCGCTTAGGGGAAAGTTAGAAAAAATGATGGTGTCCCCGTATGGGGACAATGGGCACATCTGTAGTATATTTTTAAAACATTTATACCTGATTTGTATTTTGTTTTCCAATTTATAAAGGTCACCTATAGACTAAACTTAGTTATAGCTAATACTTGGTAACAACAGACGCTAATTCACGAAGAGCATCACCAATTCCGCCATATCTTTAGGCGTTCATATTCTAAAATCTGGTGGGCATCAAGACCGAAGATGCAAAAGTACACCTACAGTACCAGGCGTCGCATCCGATATCAGAATTCAGCAGTAGAGGGCATTTCCTCCAGCTGTATTCTGGTGTCGTCACAGCGAAGTCCACCCAGAGGATAGAGTAGCATTATGCCCTGTATATGTTGACCACTGCCGTGTCTTCAGGGAAGTGATCGATGACGATAATCTTCCACGTCCAGCTTAGGTTCTGGCTGTGGTGTGGAGCGAGGGGAACTGGAAAACATCTCTTTCTGCGAAGCAGTCATAGTAGCAAGAACAGATCGCCGCCCAGAACCAAACCTGTACCTGTAAGGCGCGTGGCGTTACGCGCGTGCTTCAAAGTGCAGATCAGACCGCCTTAGATCGAGATGGCTCAGCGGGACAGATGCCCGACTACTATGAATAACCTAGTGGGTCACCGGGGCTTCGGCTTGAAGCAGAATTAGGAACGTGTTGGTTTTTAGCTAGTAAGAGTCCCCCAGGTGGAAAACGCAATGCATGATTTTTACCCTCAAAAAAAATATAGGCGCGTCACATCAAATTGATTTAGACATTTTCCGCAGAGATTTAGTTAATATCTGTTACGACACGCAGTTCGCTATAAAAAAACTGTGATATCAATGCAAATAATGCGTTAGAACCTTATGTGTCGAAAACAGTTACTACTTCGAAAAGTACTACACATGAGCCCATTGTCCCCAATCAAGGACGGCATTTTTTTTAATACTTCTAAATATATTTTTTGATTTTTTTTTGCTGATATTAGTTTGTGGGCGTCATATCATTGAGTTAATAAAGTTTTTTTTATTAAATTATGTGTAGTTTGTATTTGGTCCCAAATGGGTTAAACAACAATTCTCTTAGTACATTGATCAACGACAATTTAATTCTAATTAAATGTTATATTTCATTAGCATACATGACCTATCAGAAAGTGCTTTTTAATTAATAATATGACAGAAATACAATTCGACTGCAATGTAGAATGTTTGTAAGTCAACGAGTTATAAGGAAAATAATTACATAATAGTACCTATAACTGAAAATAACAAGGATTACCTGTTCAATTACTTAGATTAATTATTTTATAGTATTGTTCGTGTAAAATTAAAGGAAGGAAGTTTGCTAGATCCTGAAAACAATGGATTTCTGTGCAATTAGAGGTCCGCAGATATTGGTACTCTGCAAACATGGAATATCTTTTACTTTCCCATCCACATTAGTTATTTGATATTGATATCGGTGTATATCGACTCGCTTTGTCCCCTGGGGTTAGCAGAAACCCTAATACCACCTGGTACAAATGTTACATATTTCTTTAGCTTTACTTTTATTGCTCTGTAATATTCCAAATTGAGTCTATGCTTTCCAAACAACTTATTTTCTTTTTCATGAGTTAAGCTAGTAAATGAGCAGACGGATCACCTGATCATCCGGTGTCGTCCGTGTACACCTGGAACACCAAGGGCGTTACAAGTGCGTTACCAGCCTTTCGGGGATAAGGAATTTGAGAATTGTTGGGATTCGGGGATTGAGGGTGAGCTGGGCGGTACTTTTCTGCTCGTAATATAATAACTAGATTCAAGCATGAATAAAGTAATTATTTAACCATTTGAATACATAAATGATTTTTTTGTTTTCAAAAGGTTAAATAATTCTCATATGAGACACAACACAAAAAAATCATTTTCTCGCGTGGATCCACGTCTTATGTCGGAATACTCAAACGCTACTCAATTTTAAGTCGCGCTTGAGTATAGTTCTGTCTCTACAAATTCTTTGTAAAATGACAGAGATGGCATGATATTTAAGCACGACTTAAAATTGAGTAACGTTTCAGTATTCCGGCATTAGACACACGTAAGGTTAAATTATTATGTACGTATACATTCTCCGCTTAGAACAAGCGTGATGCATAATGAATGATCATTTCTTCTTCGTGTAAGAAGAAGCTTTTTCTCAACAGTGGGATAATTACAAGTGTGCTAACTATGATGTATGTATGCTGTTAAGTCAGAGATTGGAAAACGTTGCGTACGTTCAATGACGCTTTGTATAGCGTCGATGTCACTGAAGTTTGACGAATTACACAAGCTTCAATATTGTTCTTCATGCTCACATGATCTTCACTTCACAATTGATTTACTTTACATATTGCCTTAAAGTAAAACCGATTGTTTATCTTTTATAGTTATTTGTGGTTGGTAAGTGATGTCGTGTGATTGGTAAGAATCTAGCTTTTTAAATTAATGTGTCTATGTTTTACACGAAACAACCACGTATTTTGAATTGCTAACGACACTACAGCCATAAATGATGACGTTAAATGCTTTAGTTTATTGATTCAATTTGGTTATTTTTTTACTAATTACCGGTTAAACTAGCTGATCAACAAACATTCTAAGATCTACTTGTTATGCCATTTTACATGGGATATAAAATCGTTACTATAGATTTACTTTTACATGATCAAATATAATTGAAGTTAATTACGTAGTGAATAATCGTAACCACCGACAACCGGTAGATGGCGCTGACATAGCAGAACCAACAAACAAAAATTAAGGTTTAGTTACATGATTTAACAATAATTAATATTTTATTATTGTTTAACCAGGCGTTAGAGGCAGATGATAGGAACGGTGATAACTGATGGTTAGTCAGGTTATATCAACACCTGTATTGGGCTTACTTTTTCTTAATTACCTAAATAGCATTACCTGACTTCATTCAAAATCAAACATTGCATAGAGATTAAGATATCAGAAAATGAAACTAATTATATTACATTAATTCATAATTTGAATAATTAGCTTGAGAATGCTAGTTTGTGATTAGATTGAAATAATATCCATTTTATACTATAATATAATATATCCATACATTAAACCTATATAAATTACAATTTTAAATATACAAAAAATTCCGGAGCCGACCTGTAGCAGGAGCATAGTCCAAGCTACCGGTGGTTAGGGCTCCGGAGCCAAAACTCACGTTACGTGTCGTTTCTAGGAGAATTGTCTTCTGTATCACTCCTAACGTCAGCGTCCTAAGATGGATGTCGTGGTTTTTAATTTAACCCATTGGCCGACACGACTATGGAACAATGATAGCCGAATCCAAACTCTACATGTGGGACAATCTCGTGATCTAAGTCTTTTTTTTAAGGGGGGAAAGTCATCGAATGACCGCTCCCGCCTGGGTGAGGCGGGAGGGAGTGTCAGACTCTTACTGACTAAAAACCACCCTATTCCTTCTCCTGCACGTCGAGCCGGAGCCCCGGTTACCCGTTAGGTTCTCCGCAACTCCGAATCGGCATCGGCCCTATTTGGGCCCCATCTGTGGTGTGGGCCCCATAGATATTTTATTTCTTTATCTTTCTCAGCTTTCACGACGTTCTCATCATGGGGAGTTGTGACATCGAGTATCATCATGCGGTCTATCATCACTATACATTATTATTATTATTATGGTCTTATTAAATAACACGTTGGCGGGAAATCTATTCTTATTTGTATTTAAATACGACATATTTCTTAAAACGAATAAAAGATAATATTGTGTTTAGTCACCTCTGTGTGAATTCAGATACATTGAACCATTCTTTAGAGGTTAAGTAACAAACATTCACATTTGAGCACTAATAATAATATATCAAATAAGATTGAGATTACGACCATGATTATAATCGTATCCGAGAAATTTATTGCTCACGGTATGCGATATCTTAATGCATCAACGATTTTAAATGCACACAACAAAAAAATATTTATACACGAAAGCATCAACAATACAGTAAAAGAAAGTACACGAAATCAGTCATTCAATCTACGATTTGATCTTTATTTTAAAGATTAAATCTTATTGTAAACATGAATTCGGTTATATCATTTTAATATATCAACAGCAATGTTAATCGGTTCAAATTGTATCAGTACTAAAATGATAACAAAAATCGACCTTGCACTTTATAATGCGTTTTGATCTATATCCATGCATGATAATGAAATGTATACTATAATTATCCATTATTAATTTGTCATTAGTAATAATAAGTATGTTTGGATAAAAAATATCGGTGGCCCACTCACTATCGAGATTGTTTTTTTTTTTTTGTATAAGCCGAAACACCTTCGGTGTTACAAGTCTGATACCGGCCTTTTGGGGATTAGAAATTTGAGGTTCATTGGGGATTCGGGGATTGAGGAGATTGGGGAGGGGGGTAATTGTGCTTCCGGTGACCTCACCCACACGACGAAACACAACGCGAGTGTTGTTTCACGTCGGTTTTCTGTGAGGCCGTGGTATCACTTTGTACGGCCGGCCCATTCCTGCGAAGCATGGCTTTCAAACACTAGTATGACAAGTTACTTTATTGTTTAACGTAGAACGTTCTAGTCTGGCTTTCTCAAACTTTCTGCTAACCAATAGGGTAGGGAATTACCAGATTAATAGCGACACGATTCGTTGATGGTTTAGACAGCCATGTTGTATTAACGATAAAATATTGATGCTATATTTTTATAATAACATCTAAATTTAAGTAAATATTCTGAAAAAAATATGTCTGTTCTCTCTTATGTATCTGATTTTGGATTAGGTATATAATCGTAAAGCTCAAGATAATATAAATACAGAATCAAATTAATGAGATCAGGAAACGGGACGTCCTATATTAAGTACATTACTATGTATTTTAATCCGCTTAGTATAGCGACCGAATGGCGACATTTAAGTTGGTAATCCGAGAGAATTTGTTATTATCATCTTCAACGATATGTATATGTAGATATATATTAAATTTATTCTCCAAACATTATGTATGAACATTGGGTATATAATGCATCCACAACCATTCACAAGATGAATGGAATTTTCATTTACCTATTTGGTCAGAGAAGGCTGTACTTAATTTTAAAGAATTTTTCACACCTTTGATTAAAATTTTCACGATATTTTTATATTCTAAAAGTTGGTCTGTAGTCGAAACATATACTACATGGAAGTCTATGTTATGTTGGTGGATTATCAAATTATAGTCGGATTAATTTTATTTGGATTTATTACAATAATGTGCAGGGCGCACGACGTGTACACACACCAGAGTATGACAGATAGACAGCAACGTTAATAACGAGTGTCCTACCTTATATAACACACTATAGTGAGGGGGCCACTACTAGACTACTACTAATTAGTGACGTTAATACAGACAAAACATACATGTATGTTATCGTTTTCGGCTTTAACTTGATCCTTATATCATAATCATTGGCTTTAAATATTCACAAATGCAGCGTTTAACGTTTAGACTTTGTTTAATCGCTTTTATTGCATTGTTAAGTACAATTACACCAGTTATCGATTTTGTTACAAAATATCTTACAACTATGTATTGTTTAAACTACCAGTTTAAGAAGTAACTTTATTCGCTCCTTTATTCTTGTTTATAAGATGTTGCTGAACATTTATACATGGTAACGTGATATTATAATATAAATTACTTTCCAAATTAAACACACTCAAGTCTTTTGAAAACCTGGTAATAAAAAGTAATATGTATGAAAAACTAAAGCGATAACACGATTCATTAAGAACTAGATTAAAAGAAAACATAATTGCCGGTAAAATTACGTCGTTAAATGCTAGTAGTATGTTTAGTAAAAAATTAAGTAAGGTAGCGATTTGTTGAAAGTTTATTACTAAAATCGAAATGAATTACTTTCTACTTTAATTACTTTTTGTATGTTTTAGTGCCTACTTGGATTTATAACCGGTAATCGAAACGTGTGTAAAGGCACCCTGGCTGCTCGTACAGATATTTTTCTTTGATAAATATGTTTTTATGTACAGGGGTATCTGAAAGCGCTTGGTATGGCGCGTACAGCAGAAGTAAAGCGTGATGCTCGCATTGGTGAGGCCGAGGCACAAGCAGAAGCCAAGATAAAGGAGGCAATGGCTGAAGAACAACGCATGGCTGCCAGGTTCCTCAACGATACGGAAATCGCGAAAGCTCAGAGAGATTTCGAATTGAAGAAAGCCGCCTACGACGTTGAAGTTCAAACAAAGAAGGTACAAAATAAAATTATAAATAAGTAAATGTTTTTATCTAATGATATTAAATTACTTCGCACCATTAATATAGTGTGTAGTGATTTTCCACTTGAAAGCAAACATGTTTAAATAGTGTTTATTTAAAACAATGCAATGAATATTACACTTAAGTGGCGATGATTTTAGTCTCTTTATAAGTGTATTTGAAACTAACGTTAAATTAAAACATATTTAGGCTGAAGCAGAGATGGCCTACGAACTCCAAGCGGCTAAAACAAAACAACGCATCAAGGAAGAACAAATGCAGATCTCAGTTGTTGAACGTACTCAGGAAATAGCTGTACAGAAATGGGAAGTACAGCGAAAGGAAAAGGAATTAGACGCAACTGTGCGCAGGTACGATATCCTAGTACTTCTTATTTGATACAGGGTTCTTACTCTTGTCAATGCAATTTCAATCCAATAAAATCTCAATAATTATCCTGTGTCAAAACTATACAACCCCTATCGTAGCTGTTAAAGTAGCATTCGGAGTACGGAATATAAAGCCAAGCTCAATAATATTTAGTTCATGAAATATCCACGCAATACGGGTGTATTGGGCGCCAATGTTGCACCTCAAGAGTACGAAATGTTGATCGATCGGAATTGGATTCAAGAGTAAGCCCAGGTCTCTCAAGTAGCAGGTCTCTTAGTAAAGTATTTACCATCTTAAAGTTCGACGTTCTACTAGAATACTATTGAATTGGTTTTTATGTATGGTATTGGTTATGAAAAATACCTTTGCTAAGTTCTAGCTAGAGATTTAAGTACCTACTTAATCGTTTATCCTTGATGCGTGCGAACAGTCACGTAGTCCTAAGGCAGTCCGCGACTTTCTCATTTGGTTTATTTACCAAGAAAATGTGCGCAATAAGCCTTCAGTAACCTCAATACTATAGTTTTCCCTATTTGCTGTGAAAATTAGGTACCTACCTATACGATTTTCCTCGTCTACGTATGATAGGTGGTAATGTTTGTTTTGCAAGTTTTGAGGAAATTAATAAACGTTTAGATTGTCCTTCTTTTTATGCAAATTTAATGCAATAGTTAACGTGTTGTTATTGTTAGGTATAAATAAATTTCACTTTCATTTATTCTTTGTACATTATAAAATTATTTATTTGATGAACAATAAAGTTTCGTTCTATCTATCTTATCAATCAATATCTTCAGCTCACTTAATATCTATCTTTGACATTTTTGACTTTCATTGATGTTAGTGATTCCGTCTTGGGGTTCATTACAACGTGTATATTTATTTAATGTCGTTACTCGTTACGCAGGCCTGCAGAAGCAGAAAAGTTCAAGCTGGAGAAATTGGCTGAGGCTCACAAGCTAAAAACCGTGCTTGAGGCTGAAGCGGAAGCCGAGGCTGTGAAAGTCCGCGGAGAGGTAAGCAAATACGTATTAATACATCCCACATTATTCGCGTTCCCATATTATGCGTTAGTAACGTGTGAAGTTATCTCTGACGATACAAACGCTGTCGCTCTTTATGCACGCAATTTCAGATAGTGATAATTGATATCGCTAGGTACGTAATGCTGAATTCTTTAAAACTTTTATACATTGTTTTTAAAGATTAGACGGATAATTAAATTGATGTCCATATCTCTGATTTGAGCTAGTATGAGCGCCGTAAATGAGATTATCATATGCCATTATCTTATTTATAATGTAGCTCTTACCCGCGTTTCTAGGATGAAAATTAACCCGTGTGTTATTCCAGATTATAATCTACTTGTGTAACAATTTTCATCCGAATCGGTTCATTAATTTTTACATGAAAGAGTACCAAACGTACATCCATGCATCGGCACACACACGCTTTCGTATTTATAATATAAGTAGGAAAAGGATATTCATGATATGTTTTTGTAGGCGGAGGCGTACGCTATCAAGGCAAAGGCGGTCGCTGATGCGGAACAAATGGCTAAGAAAGCGGAGGCGTGGAAAGAGTACGGCTCAGCTGCCATGGTCGACATGATGCTCGAGACTTTACCTAAGGTAAGTACCTGACGTCATTACGTTTTAATTGTTCTGATATCGCTTTCCTATCTTGTGTAATTAAATTCCAATAGGCAGATTTGCTCGCTTTGTTAGTAAATGGTGAACAGTATTAATGTTAGAGGGTTTGAAACGAAAACAACAGAAACATTGCTATAAAAATATATTTTATTTACGTCATTCTACAAATAATTATTTACGTATAAAAATATACATTATTTTGTTAGTTAATACTGGTATTAAGAAGTCTAGTTTGACTGGATGGAAAGGGTTTTTTACTTAAAGCTACATTGTACAACTGATTACATTCGTTGTTTAGGTGGCTGCCGAGGTAGCAGCTCCGTTGTCACAAGCCCGTAAGGTCACCATGGTCTCCTGCGGCGGCGGTGAGGTCGGCGCTGCTAAACTTACTGGAGAAGTCCTCAATATTGTACAATGCATCCCTGAACTTGTCAAGGGAGTTACCGGAGTTGACATCTCCAAGGTAAGAAGGCACATATTAATCACATAAAGCTTTAATACGTTTCTACAACTCCGATTTTATCAGTTCTCAGCAATCACTACATATTTCATAATAAAAAAAGGTACAACATTTTATAATATTTTTGTAAGCTAATCCTCTTAAATGATTGGACAAAAATTGCGAACTGATAAAGTAGAGTGTAATAATCTAGCGATGCATTATTATGTCACATGTTTCTTGTATATTCACAGCACACTATCTGTTCTTCTATGTTAAAAATATTTGCAGTGTGTGTGGTTGAGGGCTCATGTTTTATGTGACACTAATCTATTGTTAATATGTTACATTCTCTCATAGCATGTCATTAGACTACTAAGTTAGTAGACATCTATAAAATCTATGCTAAAAACGAATTTTCTGGTTTCACTTTATGCTCGAAGTGCGATAAGTGTAACTCTGAAACAACAAAACATGACTTAAGTTACATAAATAATAAATAACCTATTTTATCAGACATGGATAGATTCCTTATATTTTATTGTCTGTTCGCTGTTTACTTGTTTTCATGTAACATATACATCAAGGTTCATGTTCATGGTTGTTTATTAACCATAAGTCGAAAGACGGTATCTATATACATGCATAATGTATTTATTTGATTTAATGCGCTAAAGTCTGGTAGTGTTGGTCGGATTTGAATAATTATTTGTGTTGAATAATGCATTTATCCAGAAAGGCCATGACCAAACACGCTCTGACGAATAGGAACTTAGCAGCGTGTGGACCCGCCCGGGACTAGCTAGGGAAGAAAAATAATACAGATTTCTTTCTGCCAATGCGGGACACAGTCGAGTCATTATACATAATAACTATTTAATATTTATTTTTGGCTCGCAACTCTTTGGTTTGTGGTACCTGCAGTATTTTTCCTTATTCAAATTCATAAACAAAAACAGTTAAATTGCACAATGAACGCGCTAATTATTGTTATTGTAAAACCAAACACAATTTCATATTGTGATAAACTATACGCAGGTCATATTTTGAAACGAACTTGCCTATCAGATCACCTATGACATTTCGTAATTAAACATGATCTAGAATAATCTTTGACATTTTATCTCATATACCTATTATTATCATTAACTAATACGACGATCTCAGACCAACGCGAGAAACAAAGTTATATATGTTACGTTTTCCTTATAGAAATTCATTTAATTTAATGTAACTGAATCGAATGCTTACATTAAGGTGAAACGATAGATTATCACGGGTACTACATTTCGTATAATAAAAACTAAGAAACTATTTATGTTCTATTTTTGTTGTAACACTGACTTAAAAATTAAATAATAACAAACTTTCATTTGTGGGTACCACCCACCCACCGATAGATAAGATGAAACACACAAGTCAATGCCACGAATCTATAATAAAATAAAAATCGTATAATGCAATGTAAATAGCCAAATGTAGGAACTTACTCACGATTTCATGACATATTGTTTTCCTTATAAGAAACAGAAAATGAAAAACCCAAATGATAAAGACCATCACAAAAATAAACAATTACTGTTGAAGTTCAAAGTTTATATTGTCCCACCATTTTTTCTGGCTGTTTCTTTGGGTAACCGGTTAAAATAAGTTTTCCTGTTTTAAGAGGTGGGTAAAAGACTACGGAGATCTACGGACTCCTACAGTTCCTCTCTCACTAAATCCACCCCTGTGGTCACATTTTTTAATCTATCAATTTTACTAGTTCCTTTGTTAAAAATATAGGTCTGTAATAAAAATCGAATTTTATTCGATACTAACTATACAATAAAATCATTTAGATAGTCGGAGTGCCCATATTAAACAAATAATCGCGCATAAAGCAATCAGCATTACATGTAAAATCTCAATACTCGTATCTGTTTACTTTGATAGTGTACATATTTAAAATAATTACCTAAATATATTGAAGACAATTAAACAGCGAATCTTACACGTGTATGTTAAACATGAAGTTAAAGACGTTTTAAATTTGAATTGATATGATAGTAACTAGTAATTTCGTTAACAAATCGAAATTAAAAAATTACGAATGGTTATAATGAATCTATAGTCTAGTGACATGTTATGATTAACACTGTCTGCTGGTATCTAACGCTTTGCTTGACTAACGTGTCGTTGTCGATGTGGCCGCCGAGCAGGCTGTCGTGGAACCGCCAACGTTACCGACGCCGACCGCCCGCGGCGACTCGGCGAGAAAGCAGCGATAACTGCCGAACTTGTACTAGACATCTACTAAATGCTCATAAAGGTAAAGTTCCTTCACGCAGCTTCCAGCGTACGTAACTAGTTACAGTGACGCCTGGCCTCGCTTTATATGTACGTAATGTGTAAATAATTGTCCCTTTCTATTTCTAACTCCACTAACACCTATCCTCATATTATTATAATATTAATAGTCTTCTCTCCACAGCTAAGGTAAGTCTGACTGTCGATTCGATTCTAAATACTTTTAAAAATTCGCAACTTGAATTAGCAATATTTTAACTTGAAGTAAACACTCAAAAAGACGATTTGTTATAAAATTTCCTCTGTTTACACAGCTGATCAATACCATTTTGATCATTTGTAAATTATGGAAACGGATTTGTCTTGATAAACAAGTTCGCGCAGAACTAATCGTATTGTTTTTTATTTCGATCAATGAGGTTTCTTTGTTTAGTCTCTATAATTTGCGTCATTTTGAATTAAAATTTTGCTACTTCAATGTCGGACCACGCCAGATTGGTGGCCTCGACAAATTGGGCGTAATCTTTTTGAAAATACAACATGTTCAGTGCGATAGCCAACACAAAATTTGATAAAAACGAGTATGGTCTATATCTATAGACGAAACTTAATTTTTGTCCAGAAAGACAATAAAAATGACGAGACACGTGATATAATTGAATAGTACAAGTATTATAGTAAAGCAAAATTTCACAGCCTCTGTTCCATGTCGACACGTTATTAACTTTGATTATGTAACGGACCGTGAAAAATAAAACTGCTTTGTTTCAATACTAAATAATTTAATATACATATAAAAATAGTTGTGTGCTCTGTCGTACGTTTGTGGCAACAACAACACATTATAATTTGTTGTTTAATAACATATACTCTTCTAATACTGAAAGTTAATAAGTACTATAATTTTTAAAGTTGTATTCAACCTTTTTGAATCAGTGAATGTAATTTTAGTACTATAAAATTAGCCAACCCCCGTACAGTTATTAATTATTTTACTACGCTTATCGCATAATTGGAGAAATTTGAAATGCTTTGTGAAGAAAAGTCGAGCGCAGGCCTTTGTATAAACAAACGACGATTAATTAATTATGTTCGCCACAAGTCATAATGTTTGCCAATGTATGACGAAGTTCAAGGAGTATACAACGTATTTTACCACTGAATTCTTTTTTTGAGAACTCAACAAAACGAATGTGTGAAACTGTTGACCTTTTCCTTGTAAGTAATTCAAGTACAAATATAACATTATTAATGCATCTATTTTTTTACAGGGTGTTCGCGCACTTTAAAAGCTGCTTGCTACATATATACCTACCTACCTGCGTTTATTTTTATTTAACTACTTATGATAATATAGTAAGAAGGTAGATAAGCAATTTATTTTTATTCGACCTAAGTGCCACTTTTGGAATATTCTCCTAAAAATATACCAAAGCAAAATTATTAAATCATATTTAACTTTCATACTAAGGTTTGTTGTACTGTGGTCAAGATTTTTAACTTTCTTAAAAGGAAAGGATTATTGTCATTATAGAGTACCTATCTGCCTACTCCATACAGTACTAATTAATTTATAATTAACGTTTTCTTTAAGTTGCCCCCCCCCCACACTAGGATTTTCGCCTGTGTCGTGGGTCCGTTTACAAACATACAATTTGACATACACATTTTGTGACCCAAAATACCAATTTGTGGATACATAGAGTTACTCCGTGAATCGAACCCACTGCACGTTGTTTGGCAGCCGGTTGCCCAGCCACTGTCAACTGTGCAATCACAAAAGTACAACCAAATTGAGAAGTCTGAGAAATAGATCAATCCTAAATCTCTCGAATATTGCAACTAAGTTTTATAAAGTTCATTATTTATACTTATAATGTGTTGAATTGTCGTTCAATTAATATTAATGCTTTAAAGAGTAAGTAAAGGTGGTCGCGCTTTATATTATGAAGTTCAAATTCAGTGCAATAACGAGTGTATGGAGCTAGGTTGGGTGCTAGATTGGTCGATGTTGTTATTTTTTCCCGAATTTATCAAAATGTGAAACACACACAGCACAATGCCGACAGTCGGCCACTCGTATTATTCATTGTTTACTGTTACTGTGGTATTACGGCATAACTGACTCTTGTGCTTATCCGATAGCGATAAGTCATGGTCTTAGTTTTTTTTTTCGAATGTCATTTCTGCACGTTAGCCATAATCTGGCATTCCTGGTTCTATTTATTTAATCTGTGCATTAATGTCATTATGAATATGAACACCATACAAGCAGTGATAAAGTGATTACCATCATAAAATATCTGATGCGCGAAGTCGCGGCGCGTCAGGAGGTCGTTACAAATTTTGTCATATCCTCACCTTTATGGTAAACTTACGAATCTACCAATTTTGTGAATTTGATATTTTTCATTAAGAAAGACTACTCCTTATGGGGTACTACTTAAGGTATACATTTATCAAAATTCTATCTAACTGTTATGGAAAGCTAATAATATTATTTTATCGCTACTCTCAAACTAAACTTGCGAAAATATGTTAGGGGTTTAGCAGTGATCTGATATGAGAAAATCCCAATCGTGACGTGACAAGACGTGAAAAACCGCAATACTAATAAACATTTATTAGAATTTTTTATTATTATCTTTTAGTTTGTTTTACTGGTAAAAGCAGTTTAGTTTTTTTTTATTTCATTGAGTTTACCATGAAGGTGACGACATATTTATGGATACCTAAATATTAATATGTCTTGAAGTAGATACGTGACAATATAGTAACAACTCACCAGAATAAGATATTTTAATTCTGTTTTAGTAGAGGCATATTAAATAACAAAATTAACGTACATTAAAGAAATAACAATTTATGACCAAAACGCCTACTTATATTCTGAAGGTAGAAAATTACAAAAATGACTGTTATACAAAAAATGATACCTATATTTTTTTAATTAGCTAAACTGTTGTTAGGGTATATGGAAATATTTGGTGTTCAAAAAGTGCAGTTTAGAAATTCTATAGTTATTGTAATAATTAACAACGTTCGTAGACATTATTGATGTCCTTTTCTAAAAACGTTTACTGCCTACGTAGGTAGTTTTTCACTTATTTGTATGAAAGTTAACATTTAAAATCAATCTGTTTATTATCCGTTTCGGTATAACTAGTCAATTTTTCTGATCCATAATGTTAAATTGTTATATTTGCGTGTACATACTGTTTGATCTATTATTTAGTTTCTACCTTGTAACCTTCTATATATTTAGAGCTATGATAAGATTATAGTTCTTTCGTATTTACTCATTAATAAAATGAAAAATGTGCGTTCGGTTTTAATAGCTTCAATTTTAAAATCATTGTATAAGATTAACCATTTTGATACAGCATAAAATAATGTATCTGCCTTCCCGTTTTGACTTGTGTATGTAATGTGTGAGGCGATGCTGAATCTCTTTTTCTTAGTTACGAATAAGATTGCAGTATTTTCCTTTAAACTTTCCATTTTTGTAATATATTTTCAGAAAGATTTTGTTACTGGTGTACCTGTGTCACACTCAGATCGCTACTTGTGATGAACATTCTCTTACCTCTGTCGACATTGTCTTATATGTAATTTTTTACTTACATATTTGATATTAATAATGGTTATAAGTAATTTACGAATTTTTAATGTCGACAACCGTCTTGGCTTTGAGTGCCATACTAGATTATTTCAAGGTTAATTTTATATTTTATAACAAAGTTTATTTAGATTTAAGATGAATGGTAAGAGAGCATTTTTCTTTTGTAAACACTTTTGAATAGAATATTTTGTAATTTGTAATGAATTTTATCAGCACAACTAACTTAGAATATTATTTCGGATGTAATGAATTTGTTTTCACCGATCTTTGAATCGGAATATGTAATTATTTTAAGTACAATTAATATATTTTCACCACTGTTTTATAGGTGGTACCAATTGTGATTTCCATTTGTATTATTTTTGATCTTTGAGGAAAAACGCAGTCTTTAGGTTTTGCACTCTTTTGGCTTGGAACATTATGTAAACGTCAAGTCACAACTTTCTTTTATCATGTTGTGCTACTTATTGCATTGCGCAACCACGAATTTCGATTTCGTCCAAAGTTGATGCCGTTTTAATTCTAGTTTGCATAAACAAAATCGCTTTCATTTACATAAGTGTGTACCTAAAGTATAATTTAGCTGGCTAAGCACAATGCTTCGTGTCATATGAAGTCATAAAAATTTGTGTCTAAAATGAAGGTGCTCGCACTCGAAAGGCTCGAACGACAACTTAAATCTATAGGGCTATTAATAGTGTTTCTGTCACTTCATGCAACACATGTAAGGTGACTGAATTAGCGTCACTAACTTACATCACAAAACACGGTTGCGTGTGAGAATTCGGACGCGAGTACGGCACAATTTATTAATTACGTTCTGTGTGGCTCACATTTTTAACATGTATGTATGTGTATTGACGTGGTTTTTATTAATGTATATTCATTAAAAAATGTATACAAAATTGTTTTTTAATTATGAAATCATACACCCCCTTCTACAACTTTGATTAGTCACTACATCAGCTACATCTATAGTCTAGAACTCTAGAACATGAATGACGTCGTCCACCTCCTTAAGTATTATTACATTGTGCTTCAATCAAGTGAGTGTGTGATTGGCAGGTACCATCTGTACGCTCCGCGTGACGATACAATTGTGTGAATGCACACCGATGCTACTATTATCGTGGTGGAATATTTTGAACTGCAACTTGCATAGGCTACTTTTATTTTGAAATGTCGAAGTGTATTGTTTTATTTGTTCTGAGAATGTAACACTACTAGCATTAACCTTTTGACCGCCAATGTCACATATACGCGACAAGCGAAAACTGTCCCTGGACGTCAACGACACAAATACATGACAGAAAAAGCGGAACCAGAAACACGAATTATTGGAATCCCTATTGTTGATACAATAGGGATTCCAATAATTCCTATTTCTTTCGTAGAAATTTGCGTGGAATTTGTGGCTTGGTGTCGAAGGCAGGTTCATGTGTTTTTGCTCTGGCGTTCAAAAGGTTAACAAAATTCTTTATATTGCCTTCTATACGTGTTTGGATCAATCGCATTGCGCAAGTTATGGATTCGATTCTTGAGCTGATGATATTTCTATTAAGTAAATACTAATGAGGAAAGGTATAATAAACACCTATGTAGGTGCATAGGTATGTATATTACGAATGAACTATCTAGTATCTACTTATCAGCTATATCTATCGATATAAAAAAATCGTTAACATCCAAGAACAAACAAAAATGCAACTCAGGGCTCCACATTGTTTTTGTATGGTACCTATTTCCTATAGTTGTATCTATTATTCTATTCTAACTTCCAAGTAAGTTCTTATCACCTATCAAGGAAACAAATAGAAGTTTCATAAAACATTCTGCTCGGATTCGGAGTCGTGAAAAAGTATTTTAATTGATCGATTTTCATGGGAAAATGTTACACTTTCAAAGTCCAAATTTCCCAAATTCAAGTAATTTCGGACCGATCTAATATTTGCTTCTAGGCACAAGCACAATAAAATATATTTGGATATCAATACATAGTATAAAACAAAGTCGCTTTCGCTGTATGTCCGTATGTATGCTTAGATCTTTAAAACTACGCAACGGATTTTGATGCGGT